GACCATGTCGTGCACGTGGTCCGCGCTGCAGCGCGGGTTCAGCGCCGCAACGACGTCCTCAGACGTCGAAGCGACGCGCGCCGGCTTAAGGTGCAGGCCGCTTGCAGCGCTGCGTAGGTTGAGGTCGCACTGGTCCAACCTCGCCTGCCTCCAGGTGGGCTTCTTCAGCACTGCCTCGAGTTTCCGCCAGGCCGCCGAGAACCACGCGTTCTTGGCTGAGCAGCGTGCTGCGCAGCGCGCTCGGTCATTATCTTCTTGGCGAGCGCCAGAAAGATCGCACCCTCCCGCTTCACCCTCGACAGGTCGATTCCTCGAGACTCGTTGAACGCCACGAGGGCGCAGAAGGCCGTGCATGGCCAGCTGAGCCAGGTCTCGTGCGGGTCGTAGAGGCCCACGAGCGCCAGCAGCAGCCGCCGGTCCCTACGTCGGGAGAGGGGCCCCCTTGACCGGGGGTCGGCTGACCGGGGGCTGAGGCCTTGTATTTTGCTGCTGTTTCGGGCGCGCAAGCCCTGACGCCAAAGGGCCCTGTCATGCGCCCTGCCCAGATGCTCAACGTGATTTCCACACCGTACCCAATATCCCACAGGGGGCGGCTCGTGGCCGGACGAACACACGCGTGCAAGAAACAAAGACTGCAATGCAGAAAAAAACAAATTGCATTGCAGATTTTCAGATGTCCCGCAAAAGTGCTGCAGAACAAAAAAACCTGTAGTGCACAAGAAATCCTGCAATGCAGAGCCATCTGCATCGGAAAGGTCCTGCGGCGGCCATCTGCATCGGAAAGGTCCTGCGGCGGCAGCGCGGCTTGCCTGGCCCTGGCATGGCTCGCTGCACGCGGCTTGTGAGAAACTCGCTTGCTTCGTAACGCAACCGAAAAACCTGCCGTGGCAGGCCGGCTCCGTTCCAGAGGCCTTATTGAAGGGCATAAGAAGAAAGTTCCCCCCGCGTCTGCCAGCCGCGCGGCGCGGTCTCATCTCTCGGGTTGCGACTGTCAAGCTGACCCACTTAGGGCCGACCACGAGCGGACGACACCACCTTCATCGGCTGTTCCGAGAGGGGCTAAGGGCCATAGGGGGGTCCTCGGGGCGTCAGACAGGGTGGAGAGGTTCTCGCTCCGCCCCCTCCACCAGCATACCGCTTTCCTGGGGTCCCGGCTGCTCCGAGTTGGGCAACGGCCGCGGGAGGGCCTCGGTGCCTAGGACAAGATGAATATGTTCCCGCTGCGTTCCCTCGCACCCGCCCAAGTCCCGAAGCGCTTTGGGCAATCGCTGGATTTAACCCCAGGATCGGAGACAGGGGAGGAGGCTCGTCAGGATCAGGATCACGGTCAGGGGATCAGGGTTCTTTTCCAGGTCAGGTGATGCTCCAGGACAAAGGATCAGGAGGAGGGCCATGGGCGGCGGGGTCAGAGGCTGCCGCTGTTGTAATTGCTCATGCTGCTGCTCGTCCACTTCTGCCCTCTCCTGCGATGCCTTTCCTTATGCTTCTCTTTTTCCCCTGATCCCCCTCCTCCTCTCCCCTCCCCCTCTCCTGCCTGCTTCCTCTTCCTCCACTCCTCCTTCTCCTCCGCTCCTCCATTTCTTCCGTGCTCCACCTCCATTCCCCATCCTCTCCCTCCGATTCCCCCCGCCCTGCCCCCTCCCACGCCTTCCGAGGACGCGCTCGTGGTGGCCCGGGCGTGGACAGGCTCGGCAGACCCGACCGGGATCGGCCGCTCCTGGGGGCCCGTGCCCCTCTGCATCCACGCCGCCGGCGTCAACTGCGGGAGCGCGTGCCTCGAGTGCGCGGGCGCGCAGGAGCAGGGCCCCTCCATGGCCAACTGCTGCTGAGCTTGATGGCCGCCCGCCGCTGGCAGAGCTGTCCGCCAGCGGTGAAAAACATGACACTTGCTGGCGTTCCCTGGATGCAGGCAGCGGCGAAGCGTTCTGGCCTGCCTAGTAGGCCCACGAGGGAATATCCGTAAGGGCTTCGGCCCCTGCTGCCGGCCCCCTCTGTATCAGAATTGGATGTCTCAGAGTCCTGCCTTGGCGCATCTGGGAACATCACGCGGGGGCGGATAGGAATCATCAGCGCATATTGAGACGATGGTATTATCGAAGACGCCTACGGCGAATCTCCGCCGCCCCTTGCCTTCTAGAATCGCCCATGTGGCGGAGCGTTGTGGCAAGAGCTTTGCCAAGCTATCGGACAATGTGTTCCCATTACCGTTGTGGAACCCCTTCGGGGAACATTTGGGGGAGGGTGGCGGGGAAGATCAAGAGGAGGGATGAGGAGGTGGAGGAGGAGGAGGAGAAGAAGGAGGAGGAGGAGGAGGGTCTCTATGGCTTCTCGGGGGCGTTCGGGGCTTCTCGGGGGCCTCTTTGGCCGTCTTGGTGGGCTCCTGGCCCGTCTGACGCCGTCGGAAGCCGTCTTGGGGGCCTCTCTGGGCCGACTTGGGGCTCTCTTGGGGTGCTCCAGGGACGTCTTGGAGGCCATCTTGGGCGTCGTGGGGCCCTCTTGGCTTCCGTTTGGGCCCTCTTGGGGCCGTTTTGAGTGCCCCTTGGGCTGTCTGGGGCCATCTTTGAGGCATGTTGGGCGATCGTGGGACGATCTTTGGGGGCTCTTGGGCCGTCGCGTGCGGTCGGAAGCCGAAGAGAAGCACATGCCAAAATCACTCCTAAGGCAATCATTGATTTTGGCATCTTCTGGCCGTCCTGGAGGTCCTCTTGGAGGCCTCTTGGGTCGCCTTCGGCCATCTTAGAGCCATCTTCGGCCGTCTTGGTGGGGCTCCTGGCCCGTCTGACGCCGTCGGAAGCTGTCTCGGGGGCCTCTCTGGGCCGACTTGGGGCTCTGTTGGGGTGCTCCAGGGACGTCTTGGACGCTTCCTGGGGCGTCTGAAAGGCCTCTTGGACCGTGTTTGGGCACCCTTGGGGCCGTCTTGGGGGCCTCTTGGGGAGGCCTGAGGCCATCTTGGAGGTCTCTTAAGCGCGCTGAGGGCGATGATGGGGGCGTCTTAGGCCGTCTTGAGCCGTCGGAAGGTTGAAAACAACTTAGCCTGGCGAAGGACCCAACCATATGCAGCTGCGAGTACCGCACGGATATGAGACGAAGGAGGGGGCACGCAAACTAGGCCCCTCTTCTCATAGGCACCGCGCCACTGGGGCCTTCGGTGGAGCTCCCTATTGGGCCACGAAACGTGTGAAGGGTGTGCCGAAATGGGTGGTGGGGAAGCATGCGGACCCTGCCACTGGGGCCTTCGGTGGAGCTCCCTATGGGGCCACGAAACGTGTGAGGGGTGTGCCGAAATGGGTGGTGGGGAGGCATGCGAACGCAGCCACTGGGGCCTTCGGTGGAGCTCCCTATGGGGCCACGAAACGTGTGAGGGGTGTGCCGAAATGGGTGGTGGGGAGCCACTGGGGCCTTCGGTGGAGCTCCCTATGGGGCCACGAAACGTGTGAGGGGTGTGCCGAAATGGGTGGTGGGGAGCCACTGGGGCCTTCGGTGGAGCTCCCTATGGGGCCACGAAACGTGTGAGGGGTGGGCCGAAATGGGCGAGGGGCGGCATGCCAACTCTGCCACTGGGGCCTTCGGTGGAGCTCATTATGGGGCCACGAAGCGTGTCAAGGGTGTGTCGACATGGGTGGCGCGGACGCATGCGAACCCTGCCACTGGGGCCGTCGGTGGAACTCCCAATGGGGCCACGAAACGTGTGAAGGGTGTGCAAAAGTGGGTGGGGGCGGCATGCGAACCCTGCCACGGGGGCCTTCGGTAGAGCACCCTATGGGGCCACGAAATGCGCGAGGGGTGTGCCAAAGTGGGGTGGGGGGCGGCATGCGAACCCTGCCACTGGGGCCGTCGGTGGAGCTCCCTATGGGGCCACGAAACGTGTGAGGGGTGTGCCAAAGTGAGATGGGGGCGGCATACGAACCCTGCCACTGGGGCCTTCGGTGGAGCTCCCTATGAGGCCACGAAACGTGTGAGGGGTGTGCCAAAGTGGGGCGGGGGCGGCATGCGAACCCTGCCACTGGGGCCTTCGGTGGAGCTACCTATGGGGCCACGAAACGAGTGAGGGGTGTGCCAAAGTGAGGTGGGGGCGGCATGCGAACCCTGCCACTGGGGCCTTCGGTGGAGCTACCTATGGGGCCACGAAACGTGTGAGGGGTGTGCCAAAGTGGGATGGGGGCGGCATGCGAACCCTGCCACTGGGGCCTTCGGTGGAGCTACCTATGGGGCCACGAAACGTGTGAGGGGTGTGCCAAAGTGAGGTGGGGGCGGCATGCGAACCCTGCCACTGGGGCCTTCGGTGGAGCTACCTATGGGGCCACGAAACGTGTGAGGGGTGTGCCAAAGTGGGGTGGGGGCGGCATGCGAACCCTGCCGCTGGCCACGAAACGTGTGAGGGGTGTGCCAAAGTGGGGTGGGGGCGGCATGCGAACCCTGTCACTGGGGCCTTCGGTGGAGCTCCCTATGGGGCCACGAAACGTGTGAGGGGTGTGCGGAAATGGGAACTAATGGCGATGGCGATGATGATGATGATGATGATGATGATGATGATGATGATGATGATGATGATGACGATGATGATGCTGGTGGTGATGACGATGATGATGCTGGTGGTGATGATGACAGGATGGTTGGGAACTAATGGCGATGGCGATGATGATGACGATGTTGATGCTGGTGGTGATGATGACGAGGATGATGATGATGATGATGATGATGATGATGATGATGATGATGATGATGATGATGATGATGATGACGATGACGATGAGTATGATGACGGCGATGGGAGGAGGGAGGAGGGGGGAGAGGAGAAGGAGGAGAGGAGAGGAGAGGAGAGGAGACGCGGGGCGCTGTCTCTTCAAAACGAGGACCCAACACCACAGGATGGTTGGGAACAAATACTGCAATTCTTCAAAAACCTACGGGCAATCGTTAGCCTCGTCGGGCCTTCCTGGAGGATTTCTTGGAGGATTTCTTGGAGGCTTTTTGGGTGGACTCGGAAGTATATTGCATCCTCTTGGGCCGTCATGGAGGCATCTCGAAGGCCAGCTTGGGCCATCTTGGAACTGTCTGGAGCAGGACAACTTTAAACGGGGTTTAAGGTGGGCCGCTGTCTTCGCCCAAGATTGCGCAGTCCGTTATGCCAGTTGCACGACTGTCTGCGATCCCATCTGGATCATTGCATCAGACAGTGGCCACGTCTATCGATGATCCGCTTCCCCATCTCATGGCTTATCTCTTATCTCTCGTCTTGCTTGCAATCAAGGGATGAGTTGTGGGATACCTCCATACGTCGCCGACGTTATCCTAAGAGTAGGATTCGCAGCTTATTTCCTCATGGTCAAGCCGTCAACCCTGACTTTGCACTTGGTAGCGGAGCTGGCTACATCGTCATGTGGTTGGTTGTTACACCCGGTGTTATGTACATACCACTTTACCACGGCACAGTGGAGTACCCGACTGCGCGGGCTCTCAGCCAATATGCTCCCGATACTCTGGGACTACCTGTTATCCTACAGTCCTACACCTCTATCTCCCCACCGCGTAGCCACACGCCTCGCACAGTTCAAATACCGATACCCGTGTGCAAATAGACGGCCGCGTCAGACCAGACCCACCCGCAACCCTATCGACGCGACAATATCCAACGATACGAAGCATGACATCATCAGCTAGGCTATGTCATAACCATGCACCATGACAAGGTCGTTATTTTTGGAACCGTCCGGGCGTGCCAAGGTCTCGCCGTGGCACACGTGCGAGGAGGAGGGCTGGATGAAACGCGCACTCGGGGTTCCTTCTGGGGTCCCGCAGGCAATGTATCCCTCCGCGGCTTTGTTCGCGAAGTATACGCATGGCTTAACGTCGAGAGCGGAAGCGGCGGCCATGCAGCGCGGTCTTGGCGGCTTGGCTAGGACACTAGCCAAGAAGGCGCCGTCCACCATCATCAACGATGGCGCCACATTGCAGGGGAGACGCACCGATGGAGTCACGTACATCATGTACCCACTAGGCATCAAGTTTGAACTTTGAGGACGAGCGACCGCTCACTTCGGGGACAGCCCTCATCGACTTCAGGGTCGAGAGGTGCGAACGCATCGATTCAGTGCTGGCCCGATTCGAGATGGCCAGGCTGGAAGCAAACGAAACGGGTATTTACATGTTTGGGCCCAGGCGCTTGATTTGATCGGGACATGACCCGATGACGACCCCCCGGGGTCCCTGGCTGCTTCTCGACCTTCCACGTAGTCTTGGATGTAAGTGGATGGTCGGACGTTTGATATCCAACAGTGGCGGCATTGTTTCATCAGGTTCTCCGTCGGCTTCTTGTATCACGCCGCAGACACTTGCCACTGCCTGAATTCCAGTCAGATTGGAAACGTTCATCGGCGAGTGGTGCTCAAGAATAATGTCGTTTTGCATGTTGGGTCGCTTTGGCGTTGGTGTATCGCCTTTACATGTTGTTCTTGTGCCACCAGTTCATGCGCTCTTTTTTTTGATCGGCGAGAAGTCGGAACTGATATCGTCCTCGTTTATCATAGATGAGAGTTCTCCGTTCCATGTCATATCGAACCATTGGTTGACCCAGTGCCGAGACATGCTTTCGCTCTCGTGTGATAGGCTCATCAACGAGTGATATAACAGGGACGTCTGGGGGGAATCGGCTTACCATTCCTGATACGACATTACTTGTGAAATCCTCGGCTATTGCAGATTCTACAACCGTTCCAGGGTGTTCACTCATATCAGTTCTTTCGTTGGATGCAACCATTGCGCCTTCGGCGGGCAGCCAATCATGCTCCAGAGGAACAGGATCACTGGCAATTTTGGGGGTGTGAAAATGATGCGATGTTGGTCACATTGCTGTTCTGGTCGGGTCGTATCGACATAGCTGTAAAGTCCGGTAAGGTCTTTGTATAGGATGCGTGAGCGCGGGCGGAGCGACGACGACGCAACGACGA